TTACTTAATAGGTTGCCTACTAAATCTTTAGNTACTTAATAGGTTACCTACTAAATCTTTAGATAGAAAGACACCATTTGAGACTTGGGATGAAATGAAACCAGATGTCTCTCGTCTAAAGGTTTTTGGAAGCCTTTATTACACTCATATAGGTGAAAAGGGATGAATTAAGCCAAAAAGATGAGGTTCGAGTGCTAATTGGTTACTGCAGTAATGCTAAAGGCCATAGGGTATTCAATCCTCATAGCAAGAAGATAATCTCCAGCAGGGATATCCAGGTAGATGAAGAAGTTTCATGGAATTAGGAATCATCTGCAAGCAATCAACCTCAGGTTCCAAAAGCTATTCCTCAGGCAGTTGAAACTGATGTCAATGAAGAAAAAGAGGAATATGATAGTGATTCGGATTCAAAAAATGAAGTACTAAAGACTAGACCATTAGCTGATGTGTATGCCAGATGTAATTCAGCTCAACTAGATCCTTCAAACTTTGCAGAAGTTGAAAATTCTAAGGAGTGGATGGCTGTAATAAAGGAGGAGTTAAACATGATTGAGAAAAATGAAACATGGGTGTTGGTAGACAGGCCAAAAGATAAATGGGTATACAAAACTAAACTGAACTCTGATGGATCAATCAACAAGCTGAAAGCCAGGCTTGTTATGAAGGGATATACTCAACAATTTGGCATGGACTTCACAGATACTTTTGCACCAGTCGCAAGATATGAAACAATCAGATTACTATTTGCTATTGCTGCTTAAGGAGGTTGGAAAATTCATCAGTTGGATGTCAAGTCAGCCTTCTTAAATGGCTACTTAAATGCTGAGATATTTGAACAACCTAATGGTTTTCTAGTGGCTGGAGCAGAGGATAATGTATATCAATTAAAGAAGGCTTTGTATGGCTTGAAGCAGGCTCCAAGAGCCTGGTACGGCAAAATAGATGAGCATTTGAGATGTCTCGATTTTAGTAAAGTGTTAATGAGAAAACACTTTATATCAAGCATGTAGAGGAAGAAGTTTTCTTTATATGTTGATAATCTTTTAATAACCGACAGTAATCAAGCTTTAATTGAGCAAGTGAAAGATGAAATGAAGCAGGCATTTGAGATGACTGATCTTGGGAAGATGCAGGACTTTCTCAGCATGGAAATAAATCAGTCTCAAGAAGGAATTTTTGTCTATCAAAAGAGATATGTCAAGGAGATGCTAAAGAAGTTTAACATGGAAAACTGTAAACCAATGAGCACTCCCTTGATACAAAACTTAAAGTTAATGAAGGATGATGGAGGCAGAAAGACTGATGAAAAGATTTATAGAAGTTTGGTAGGAAGTTTCTTGTATTTAACCATTACAAGACCTGACATTACCTTTGCTGCAAATCTGCTTTCCAGATTCAGACAAGAACCAAGTAACATGCATTTTCAAGCTGCAAAGAGAGTTCTTAGATATATCAAAGGGAATGCAGAAATGGGAATTTGGTATAAGAAGTCAGGGAATCTGAAATTGGTTGGCTATACTGATAGTGATTGGGCTGGTTCCTATGATGATATGAAAAACACTTCTAGTTATGTTTTTTATTTGAGTTCAAGTATTATCTGCTGGAATTCAATTAGACAAAAAATGGTTGCTCAATCAGCTGCTGAGGTAGAGTATATTCTAGCTTCAGAAGCAACTAACCAAGCCATTTGGTTGAGGAAAGTTTTGGAGGATCTTAACTACAAACAATCTGATGCAGCAGTCATTTATTGTGATAAACAATCAGCAATTACAATGGTTAAAAATCT